AAAGACTTTTTTTTTTTTTTTTTTTTTTTTTTTTTTTTTTTTTTTAAATCAGCCCCCCAAAATAACCCTTTAAAGAACTGTTTGCTTAATATTTCTGGCTTCCCATTACAAAGCTCTTCAGTGGATAGAAAAAATGTCTTCCTATCAGTAATCAAGACAGGAAGCTAGGAAGAGAAGAGAGCTGCCCTCCAAACCCATCTCCTCTGTCTCCCTCTTGCCAACAGATGTTTGTCAGGCTGTTTGTAGATGAAAACTTGGACCGAATGGTCCCAATCTCTAAGCAGCCCAAAGAAAAGATCCAGGCTATCATTGACTCATGCAGGCGACAATTCCCTGAGTATCAAGAGCGTGCCAGAAAACGCATACGTACTTACCTCAAGTCCTGCAGGCGGATGAAAAGAAGTGGTTTTGAGATGGTGAGTTTTGATTTAAAACCCAGCCCTAGTTTCCATCAAAACCCCATATGTAAATCCATGGCACTATTTTGTTTTCATCTTAGTGTCTTTTTTTTGTTTGTTTATTTTTTTGGTAATACCGGGTCAGAGGTTTCTTTTTCCCTCCTTCATTCTTCCTGAATTTATTCCCTTTGTTCACTGGTTTAAGAATGCTTTGAGACACTATAGTTCACAAGATGAACTAGTATGGATGTATAGGAAAAGAAGAACAAAGCAAGGCATAAGGAGGGAAACCAAATGATGGCATATATAGTGACTTATTTCCTACGTTAGGTTACAGTTAAAGATTTTTGCCTGGAAAAGTCTTGCAGTAAGATGGATTTTTCTTTAAAATGCCTCTGCTAACTGGATTTATGTGAGCTCTGTAAAAGTTAGATCCTGCTAGAGAAATGCTATACCCAAGAAAATGCCCAGTGTAGTAACATCACACTGGCAATGGTTTTGGCTTTGGGTTTTTTTCTTGTACATTTTAGCCTATTACTTGTCAGTAGAAGTTACTCTTTGATATCTTTCAGTTGATACATAGGTGTGCAAAACACATCACATGGTTTTAAAACACAGACATCAAGCGCACAGTTTGAGCATCCCAACAGTTCAGTAATTGTAATTACATGAAACCTCATGAAAATTATGATGGTATACCACTGTCAGTGTTTTCAGACATTAATATTTTAATACTACTCAGTAGCACAAGAATGGGTAAATAACAAGTCTTCTCACGAATTTGCAGCTTCATTATCTCTAAAAAACTTCTGTATTTCCAAAACCCAGGAAAGTCAGAGGAAACTATGTAGCTACACACCTTATGTCTGATGTGTCTTAGCTATCTCTCTGGCCTTTAGATGACAATAAAATCACCTCATCATTACAAATAGATATCATTTAGTGATTAAACATATCATTTTTTTTTTTAATGAATCATCTGCAAACCCATTGATTACATTAAAAAATTACTGGAGATGATTGAATTTTACTGTTTCTCTCTTTCTCTCTGTCTTTCTCTTTCCTGCAGTCTTTGCAGAATACTTATGATGATTTCCATATGTTGTTTAAGATGTTAGCTGACAGTTTTAAGAACAAAATGTCAGGTTTATTTGTAGGGTAAGACCACTATTGACTAACACAAAAAGCAAAGACAGAAACTAAATTTTTTTATATGTTTGTGATTCTAATCAACTGCATGGTTTTATTATTTGAAATATTGGAATAACACTGTTTCTGAACAATGGAAATGCAGATGAAGAGAGACAGGTAGAATAAAGGACATCTGTACAGATAAAAGTGCCAAAGGTTGACTGGTGGTGTACATGTCAGATCATATAGCCTTCCAAAATAAAAGAAGGAAAACCAGAAAATAAGTATTTTCTACGATACGCTAAGTAGCATCAAATTGCATCTACTCAGTCTGGCTGAAAATTATTCAGCAACATCAAGTTCAGCTTTCACAATGCCAAATATTTTTATTTTGCTGTACTTTCATTTGAAAATACTTACAAAATAAGCCGATGCTAGTAAGTCTCCTCGCTGTTCCAATTTAAGGCGTCATTACTGTCATTATTCACACTGATGAGCAGTTATGTAAACTGGCTCATTTTTTGTCAGCTGAAAGGCTTGCGCAACTGTTTTGCGATATGAATAAGGGTTTTACAGTCTGACCCATAAAAGTTAGGTTGGCTTGACTTCAGTGCACATTTGCAAATGTTACTTTCATATGAATAAAGGTTGCAGGATCAAATTTATTCCTGGGAGGGGAAAAGGAGCAGAGATGACCAGGGACATGATCCAAAGAGGCAATCTTTATAGTTCAGAAATATTCCCTGTTTTTATAATGTTCCATGGCAGTTTATGATTGGCTTTATTTCTTTTTAAACAAACAAATTACCCTTTAAAATATTGACTTTGCTGCCCATGAATGGAAGTGACAAGGCACTGGAGCTCATGCCAAAGATTTCAGCCCTCTTGGGCCTGAAGGGAAATTTGTCCTGCTTCCCCATTCACAGGTAGGAACACAAGCCAAAGACTATCCAAAGCCTTTGGAGGAGCTCCCATTAACTTCCTAAGAGAATAACTGGTGTTTTATGTTTATGTCTTGAATAATTCTGAAATGTAATACGTATCCATTTGTTGGTTTTAATTATTTTCTGATTTCTAAATTACTGTATCAGCATCTCCTGATTATAAGTAGTTTTTAAAAAGGCTACCATGGACAGAGGCACTTGAGTGTATGATTATTTTAAATGTACTTACCATTTTGACAGTGGAAAAGAATCACTTTGTCTGGATAATAACATTTGTTCAGAACAATCACGAAGGGACATGTTGGTGTTGATTTGAATAAGGTGCTACCCTCAAATATAGCAAAACAGGATAATGATCTCCTCAGGAGCAATAGTGCTACTGTTGTTATATTAAATAGGATGTCAGATAATAATCTCCACAGGAGATGTCTTTTCCTATAGGCATATTAAACACAAGTTTTTAATTTTGTTCAGGTTCAGAATGCTACATTTTGAGTATCTAGTTGCAAGAGAAAAAGAGAGTAATCTCATATATGGCATATGACAGTTCAGACTGTGTGTGGAACAGTGCAGCTATCTACAGCGTCATATTGTAAAGTGAAGAGAAAATGTAAACACTAAGTTAAATTAGTGTAAGACTGCATGGTAAAGATGAAAAAGTGTGCCTGAAGCCTCTTTCTGTCAGTTATTTGCCATCTGTAACCCAAATGACAGTTCTTGCTGCATAACAGGCCAGTTCTAGCTCTGAGGCAATGGGAAAGGCTCAGTCTCATGAGTGTTCATATTGTTAATTAATGTGTTTCTTAGTATTAATATTTTTAAGAGATTGCTTATGGTTATTCTGCTTCTACTTATGACAGATAGTTGTCTGTGGACTCCAAGGCAGCTTGCATAGCTTCTTGTTACAAATACCTCTTTGAGAAGCTCCCTTTCTACATTGGAAATGCTTTCCCCATTTGACTGTTCAGCTTGTGTTTGTGCCATTTTCATTCTGACACAAGCATATCCCTCAACAAGGCACTGTCGAAGTTTTTCTCATGAATTGTAAGATTGTTTTTTCTCGTCCCATTGTCTCTTGCTTATGGACTGTTGAGATTGTTCTCTTACTAAATTCTATGATCTTGCTCAGAATCTGTCATTGGGAGGGAAGTTTGTCAAGCCCTGAAATCACTGGCTTTTGGATGGAATCTCTAGGTTGTGCTTCCACCTGCACTATGCTGTAGCACTTTGTGAACTTCTTCAAGTTCTTGATGTTTGTAAAGAAATTCTTTCTTTTTCTCTTCTTTAGCCCATAAGCAAAAGAAAATATATATTACTGTCTCTTTCTCAAGGACTGATATTAATGAGAATTCCTTTATATACATTAAGTGTTTTGTCACCTATATATGCTATACAAGAGGAATTTTCCCCCTCAACTGGTCAAATGACCTGTTTCCCTAATGTTTTTAAAATCCATCCTTTAGACTTGTCCTAGCCTCTGTATCTGTAGAAAACTGCTAATTAAAAAAAGATAGTAAAAAGCTGCTGAGGATATGTGGTATATATTTACTTAGTTACAGTCCGGAAAAATTTTAGATGCTAGAAATAATCAAATGAGGTTGAATTGACTTAATAATTACATTTTCTTTCTGCTATCTGCTTCCTCCCATCTTCATGATCTCCTATCATCAGTCTCACTGTATTCAGTTTGAAACTGCATCTTACAGTATCTTTTTCACAGTTATGCCATTTTTTCTATTTGCATCCCAATGATAGAGCAAGGTCGTAAACTCTCATTCACAAAGAGATTCTTCCTTTTGTTTAAGCAAAAGCAAACCTTCCTTCCTAGGCAATGCTGTCATATAAAGCAATAGTATCAAAGACCAAAGTATTCTTATGTATTGGAGAGGAAAGGCTAGTCAAAAATGCTTTTCATTGTCTGAAGATAAGTTTGGATGTGTCAGAGAAGAAGAATCACACTATGCCTGAAGACAGTTCCTCACTCAGAACTCAGTGTTGTTCATCCCAGCTCCTCCTGTCCTATTGCCAGCTTCAATAACAAATAACTAAGCTCTGTATCTTTCACTGCTTCTGCCATTTGGATGTGCCAATTGGCTGTAAGAGGTGTTTTAATGATTTGCAACTGTGCGCATATGATCGAGGTGTTTTAAATGTGTCTAGTGGCTTGGAGTGCTTCTATATTGTGACTGAGCAGCTTCTGTGGGGACTGGTTTTCACAAGGGGGTATGTTTTCTGAAATTGGCCTCGTTAAGATTTCTCAGGATAGATATCTAGCCTCTGTTTTAAGTTTTAGCTTTAGAGACAGGAAGCTTTCATTATTTACTGAATTTAGTGCTGAGTAGTCCAGTTGCCCTCGCAGTCATATGGCTTTTCAGTCATCCAGGCCTTTTATGGCTGGGACAGTCATAAACATTTTCTGGAAGATGAGGATCCGTTGGTCCAGGGATGCACACCTAATCTTGATTAATAAGCTGGGAAGCATTAAGAAAATGGTCACAAGAACAGTTACATGAAGATCTACAAATAATAATAAAGTTGTTGCTTTGTGCTAAACCCCAAATTCTGTTGACTGGTCACTTTCCTTTCTAAGCATCTCACCCTTCTTAGACAGTGGTTAGCTTATGTAAGTCCGATGGGCAACCTGGTTGAAAAAGGGCAAAGCTACTCTCTGACAAACTTTGACTTTTTGCATTAGGTCTCACATATCCTTAAAAAAAAATTTTTTTTTAGAAACAATTTCCCTAAGGCTCTTAAATATTTTTTCCCCCACAGAACAGTTAAGTGAATGCTGATCTGATTTTTCAGAACTGCCTTTTACATCTGTCTCAGATGATACCTTTTGCTTTTCAATAACTTTTGCAAGCATAGGCAACTTTGGAAAAGTGAGTGGGAGAAGAAGTTACACTTTTTCCAGTAACCTTGGAAAACGTGAAGAAGTTAGCC